GAGTGGTACAGGGAAACCACAGGAGATATTGGAATTATCTGCACTAACTCTAAAACACTATTAGTGCGATTTTTATATTGAGGCATTGCAAACTATTCTTTTGTGTCTGATTCAATAATGAGAATAAGAGCTTGTCTTCACTTCCTAGTTAACTTGAGTTATAATCCCAGCAGTGCTATTAATTCAAGTCCTGATGGTGCAGAAAAACCCTGGATGATACTGGTTCTTTCGACTGCTCTGGGACTGGACCTAGCTTGAAAGTTGGAGTCGGTGGTACAGCTTGTCAGCGACTAACACAACCCCTCCGGGCAGCTCAAGCGGTACTTTCAGTGTCGCTGTTTTCACTCAGTTTTAGCTAACTTGAGATGGGGTAATTGGAGCTTGGGTCACTTGAGTACATTCTGCAATGATGTCATCTCCCAAATCTGTAACATGGATGTATTATATATATTATAAAAAGTAAGTAAATGTCACAATAAGTTGATGATCTTAGGCTCTTCCAGGCACAGCAAGTCCCCAACTTCCAACTTTGATTCAATTCTGGTTCTTAGAGATGCAAAAGGAACAAGATGCCTAAATTTAGGCTTTAAAGTTCCAAAGACATGTATGGACCTTCCCTAAAGGAAAAGTGGGGAGGTGCAGAAAAAGAAGCAACGGTCTCAAGTTGCAGCAAGGGAAGTTTAGGTTGGATTTTAGGAAAAATACTAGGAGGGTTATAAAGCACTGGAACGGGTTACCCAGAGAGGTGGTGGACTCTCCATCCTTGGAAGTTTTTAAGACCCGGCTCAACAAATCCTTGTCTGGGATGATGTAGTTGGGGCTGGTCCTGCTTTGAGAAGGTGGCTGGACTAGATGTAACCTCCTGAGCTCCCTTCCAGCCCTTATTTTCTGTGATTCTATGAATGTGCATATCTGCTGGCTATATTAAACCTGTTATTAGTTAAAGTTACAAAGAACAGCAAAATCCAGAGTAATCCCTCATCAGATTGTAGCCTGCACTTTCAGTTTCATGGCCAAGAATGAACTTGGTTTTGGAACTACATTTAGGAATAGCGGCTCAGAAACCAGCCTATAGAAGTGAAACGTGTGATTTCCTGGTCACATAAATGACATTCCACTGAAACACAAGAGGAGTACTGGACTAGGCTTTTTCAAACCGATTTGTGCCAGAGGTGGTCAGGCCGTGGCAGATCACGGAGGGGATAGGCAGCACCATACCGGGCACGGGCAGAGGATCAAAGTGCTACTTGGAGAGGGTGCAGGGCTAATTCGTGATACACCGGCCAGAAAGTTGCTCCCCTTGATTGTATTCCCTCTTTCCCATTCTTTATTTCTGTGCATATTGCCTTTAAATTGCAAGTTTTGAAACCATGTAGATTAATTATGTGAACTTCCTTCCTTTTCTGTCTCCTTGTGACAAGGTATTTAGCAGAATTTGCAGGTTTAATTGGAATCTGACAGGCCACGCCGTGAGTGCTTCTGCCGTGGTCTCAAACTTGCAACTTTTGGGCTGTCTAAGCCGTGCACCTTAGCCTGTGTCACCCCAGCCCCCAGCTTGTGAACAAGGCAGATAAAGTCATAAATCCTAATTCATTTTTTAATTACTCTGCTGCAGAGAACCAATCTTAACATCCTGGAAAAATAAAAGAAAGAAATTGTCCCGTTGAAAACCATGTGATTGAATTTTGCTTAAATTGACCAAAAAAGTTCCCTATTGCTTCACTTTCGTCTGAATTATCAAACTGTCATATTTGTTCAAGCAATGAGACCATTACGTCTCCACAGAAAGAAGCAGTATTGAAATGGTCTTATGCGTGTTTAAATTTTCATTTCTTTAACAGCGATTAGATCATATTATAGACTAATAATTTTTAAAATGAAAGTCGTTTTCCAGTTATGTGAGAACAAGAAATGAATCTCACACTCGTGAAATCCTAACATGATTTATTAATATGTAATCTATTTATATGCAGCTTTAAAAAGCCAAATGTTTTTATATTAATTTACTGGTAAACTGAGATATAGCAAGCTTCAGTCCCAAATGTGTTTTCTCGGAAGGCTTATCAACCACTAAAGAGCAAGTTTTTTAATGGAAGAGCTAATGTTTATTTTATCATAAAAGCTAAAGGGGCAATACATTATAAGGTGCTTCAAAGGCATTAATAAGGCACATAAGCAGTGGAAGTAGGACAACAGTGAGGGAACTAAAGTTGTAAGGGGGATAATTTCGGAGGAAGAAGAAAAGCTGCATGAAGTGACTCTCGGCAAACAGGGTCAGAGAGATACTCTGCCATGGGTCAAGGAGATGAGAAAAAGCCCAGAAAGCGAGCAGGAAAGCAGGAACATATGAAAGGGGAGGCACGGAAAATGGACTCAAATTATTATATGGCCTGGTATATGCAGACAAGACAAATGGCAAATATGCCTCTGTGCCATGTTAGTAGCCTGGCTTATTTCCATTGGGATGTTGGGACTTCAAGTGGAAGGAGTGAATTGTACCAAAATCAGCCTCAGACACGAAGGTGGAGATGGTCCATCAGCAAAGGGCCACTGCCTGGCAACGGCGGGTTGAAAATAGTTGCCGATTTTGACTTCTGCAGTCGCTGTGGCTGAGGCCGTGTGCTGCAGCAGAAGGGGAGCTCACTACCACTGCTTTTTTTTGCAGAACTGCTTTTCCAGTGATATCCTTTGTGGAGTGCAGTTAACTCAGAAGCCCTTTTCCTTGTCTTCTGGCCTATGGGAAGCAACTTCTCCTTGGCCACGTGGTGCTAATTGAGTTCTTCCATAGCTGCTGACCTCATCCTAAATGGAAAAAACAGAAGCGAAGCGGGCAGAAGAAAGCATGGGGAGGGAAGACTGACTCAGCGCCATTAGCTGATCTTAACAAAGAATCAGCGTGGTTGCTTAATGGACAGAAATTAGAGATCCCGATTGTTGTAGAGCAAACCGCCTTTAATAAAATAATTCCTAGTCTGTACCGTGTATTGTAAGTTAATTTCCTTTTTCCCAAACATGCTTAATTCATGTATCCTGCAGGGAGAATTTTAAACCAATTACAATTATAGTAAAAATCCTGTAGTAAAAATAGTTCAATTATAGTGCAACCCAAGGTGCACCGTTACCTAGTAATGCGAAGCCGAAGAGAAAAACATCTCTTGCAAGCTGCGCTCCGTGCAAGAAAAGGGAAGGAATGAATCACCCCTTCCTTTGTGCTGCTCTCGTTGTGAAATACAAACCTATTAGCATTCATTTTTGGTTGAAGAACAGATCGTAAAGTTTGATGCCAGATACTCAACAGGTTATGCAGGATATTCATTAAGAAAACAGGTATTTTAATTTGATGGGGAAGGGTTTTGTAAATGTTTTTTTCATTGCCGTCAAACAGTCTGGAAGAAACCACGAGTCTAGGAATACTAAACGGGGCAGAACATTTCTCAAGTCAAGCTTCAAGAAGATTACGTACAAATCTTCAGTCTCACCTTGGGTTGTGAAAACCAGCGTGTTTTGATACTTGATTGAAAAAAGATTCCTTGCAGATGAGAAACATCAAAATGTGTGGTCTATCCTAATGCCATAAAAGAGCCTTGATTTTAAAATGTGTGGGTTTTATCCCTAGGCAAAGCACCCATTGATAACACTAGGGCACAGTTTGGCACTTCATGATTTTTAAGCACTTTGGAAAATGAAAAACAGGATGCAACTGCTGAGTAATAGTGGCACAAAGTACAATATTATCCACAGCAAATCAAGTAGGTGCAAGCAGGGGTGGATGCTGCCAGTCTCTACCACCTCTCTCCCCGTCCCCACCCCATGCCAGTGCCACCCCCCTTGTACCCTATATCCCCGTCCTCAAAATCCTGGATTCACTCCTGGATAAATGTTAAAAGTTCTACAGAATACACTGCAGTTACCTCTGGATGCAGAAGAAGGGGCTAAGTGTTGATACCTTTTGGAAATCGGAACATAAAAGCTCTTTGAGGTATATCTTTTTTAATTGTAAAATATGATTTGATCTTTCCTTTTTCCTCTTCTGTGAAGGCATTTTTACTTAGTCTGCTGCACACACCAACCACATTCTGACCACACTGATAATTATGCACGTCTGACCTGCACGACTGGCATTTTCCTTGCAGTTGTTCCTGAGATGTGTTATTTTGGATGGGGGAGAAAGTGTACCTCTGAAGTAACTGAAACCCCGATCGTGCTAATACCGTCTTACCCACGTTTCTCCGGTGTGAGCGAGCCCAACTCTGACTCCAAACCTCTTAGCAGACAGATGAAATTGGTTTAGTCGGAAATCCTATTTACTGGAAATGAGATTTGAAAATCATGTAAGCTTGATATTAACAATCCCAATTCTTGTTTCAGCTGGATTTCCCTTTTCCACCGTTAATGTTGACGGTACTGCCAGCACACTTGGATCCAAGACGTTCTCTCTCGGTGAACATTGCAAATCCTGCTCTCAGTTTCGGCTTAATGCAGACAGCTTGATATTATACTTTCTGCTTCCCGCTCCAAATTATATGAAAAAGAAAAAATTGGCTCTAGTCTTCCATGAAGCTCAGTTGTTACCTGTTAGTTTTCATTACTAGCATTGGTCTGTCTGCTGGATTTGCACTGAAAAATGTAACTTTTAACGGGACGACTGTACCTGAGCCTCTCAATGTGTCGCTTCATCCGGTCTGGCAAGCCTTGGGAAATTCTCCAGCACATCATGATATCATAGCAAAGGAGGGGACCGGTGCATTAATTGAATGTAATCTCAACATCAGCCAGTATGAATTTATTCTTTGGTACAATTCTAAAGGACATCTTCTCAAGCAAAACGATGAAGGTAAGCTCTGCTCTTCCCTCCGGTACTGAAACGGCTGTCAGGCTCGCACGTTATCTGGATCTCAATTGTCTGATGCTCTCTGGGAGGTATTAGCCACATTTCACAGATCGGGCATTGCAGCCCGGGGAGGCAGAGTCCCGGATCGAGTGCACAGTAGCAGCACCCAGCTCCAGGTGTTAAATTCACAAACCCAAATTAGACAACTAACTTCCCCCTTCAATGAACGAAGCAGAGTTGGGTGCCTCGGAGGAGGGGCAGATTGTAGTGAAGCAAGACATTTGGCCTGGGAGAGCCAGGTTTAAGCACGGGACAATACTTCCTGCCTTGTTTTGAATCTGGGGAGCATCCTTCATTAGGTAGCAACAGGCATGAAATTAGGTGAACTTGTAACTTGGAGCTACTTGACAGTATTGTCTTTGAGCAGTGCATATTAATTGGGGGGGATTCGTAGCTTATGTGCAGCCAAAATAATCTATAGAAGCCATCTGGGAATGCATTGAAAGCAGAGTAATGAGGGGACTGAGTTACAAAAACAAATCTGTTTTCTTCCTAAATTACAAACAGGCAAGAAGCAGCCTGTGAAGCCGGCCTTTTGTTGTTTTCTTTTTAAAAGAGCTTGGTAACTCGATAAAGAAGCCTCCATTAAAGCAAAGAAGCGGGAACAGAAAGACTCCCGGGTCTGAGGCCAGCTGAGTCTCTTACCGACTGCCTGACCTTTTCCCATGGGTCATTTGACTTTTGTCTCAGTTAACTCGGATGGAAAATTAGACTTTATAATGATAGAGGACAGCAATTAAACAGATCGCTGCACGGCAGGGAGAACGTGCTAAACCAATATTAGCGACCTTTTTCCAAAGCATTTGTAATTTATAGGCACATCCGCACAGCATAATGCACCACAACACAGATTGGGATGTTCATTTTCGTCTTGGGGGAGGGAAGGACGTGGACTTGTGGCTTTCCAGATAAGCAAGCGATAAAATGAAATCTCCACCACAGGAGCAGTCGTTGGGGGATCGTTGGACTGTGCTCTGTGTTCCAACACGTGTATCCAGATAAAGAAAGAAGTGCTGGTTGCATTTTTCTGAATGATCATTTCATTGCTTTCTTTTGCGTCTTTCGTCTCTGTAGGTGGGCGTTGGTTGATCACCGATAATGTCCTTAACATCACGCGAGTGACCTTTGATGACCGTGGGCGGTACACGTGTGCAGCCACCAACCATAATGACACCACTTACTACACAGTCACTCTGAGGGTTATCTTCACCTCGGGGGACATGAGCATCTACTACATGATTGTATGCCTGGTTGCCTTTGCTATCACCCTCGTTTTAAACATAACTCGCCTGTGTATGATGAGCAGCCACCTCCGCAAGACAGAGAAGGCCATCAATGAGTTCTTCCGGACTGAAGGGGCTGAGAAGCTTCAGAAGGCCTTTGAGATTGCCAAACGCATCCCGATCATCACGTCAGCCAAAACGCTAGAGTTGGCCAAAGTCACCCAGTTTAAGACCATGGAATTTGCACGCTACATTGAAGAGCTGGCCAGGAGTGTGCCCCTTCCACCGCTCATCCTGAACTGTAGGGCATTCATGGAGGAGATCTTCGAGGCAGTGCGTGTGGATGAGCCTGACGAAGTGGGAGAAGAAATCAAACAGACCCAAGCCCTTAATACGCAAGACACAATCTACCCCGTCGACCCGGAGATCAAGCGCAGTAATTCACCGGCGGGGGATTCTGATGACGGCTCCATGAGCGAACAAGGCCAAGAAATAGCAGTCCAGGTGTCGATTCACTTGCAGTCAGAAGTGCAAAGCATTGACACTGCTTCCCATGATAGTGGCCATTTTGCACCTTTTGAGGAAGATGCCTGTTGAATCCAGCTCTGTCGGGTGATGAAAGCTTCCTCATTTCTGCATGACATCAAGAGAAAGAACTGAAAACAAAAGAGACCAGAATCTGCACAAGGAATAATGACTTTTCCCCAGATTATGAGGTGCCAAAACTATTACCAAAACACTTGGTATTTTCCTTATCCAATGTTTCTTACTGTTTTAAAGGCTGTCTACATAGGGCTGTTTGAAATGCCCCCTAGCACTGGTTTTCTACAGCTCTGGAAATATTTCAGAAAGAGAGCAATGTTTTCTGGTAGCCTCAGTCACTGGATAAGGACTGACCAAGCTAAGCCACATGCCTGCAATAAGATCTTCTCCTTTGTGAACTCTCCATACATGCAAAGAAACATGAAAGTCTTGATTCGAGCGTGTCCACACCGTTGTCGTGAGTTGACTAGCGTGCTGTTCTTGAGTGGCCTCTTGATGTGTGCTGCCCATCAAAACTGAGGTGAGCTTCAGGAAACCTGTTTCGTGTAGCACGCTTCATCGTTGCAGAATGTACTGTACTTCGAAGACGGCATCGTACAGATTTAGCAGCTGGATTGAATTAAGTCATCGTTTCGTAGCAGTTTATGGAATAACCTAGCTCCCCATTTTCCACGATTCTGCTGAAAACCTCCACAAACTGTCATAGCGCGTGGAAGATGAAATATTGGTTTTGACATAACTGCTCTTTTAAACCCGGTGCTGGGTGCCAAAGCGCCTTTGGATCCATTTTACGGAGTGGGACAGTAAGACAGCACCGCTGTTTATTGTCTCTCCTCTGATTTCATTGACTTGACTCCTTGTACAAAATCCAAAGTATTATGGCGTATTGGATGTCTCCGTGAGCAAGGGATGACACGAGGGTCATGTCATAAACTAAACCTGAAACAAAATCTCCAGATCGAATGTCTCGGGCAGTTGTTTTGAAACAATGTGAGTAAGAAAAGAGGGGTTGTGGGGGTGGAAATGAGAGCCAGGTTCTTAGTTTGGGCAGGATTTGCAGAACGCAGTGGCACTGGGAGGACAGAAAGGACCTAGCGGCTCCCTCTTCGATGCATTAGCCCTTTAGACAGGTCCTCTCCCATGCCAAAATGGCAAGGACTACAAGAGACCAGGCATCCTGTCTGCCGGCTGGGTCCTCTCCAGTCCCAGGAGTCTTCTCGGTGCTGCTGATCCAGCCTTTAGGAACCAGGACGCAGGGAAGATCCCGACCCCTATTTTCACTCTTTGGTGCTGATTTTTTTTCCTCCCCCTTTTAGCATTTACAAGTTGTATCACTAAGTAGCATTTTATCTCCAGCTGAGATTTAGTATATGTAAGGCTTGTAAGCACTCCACAAATTAATTTCTTACAACTACTGGAAGCATATTGCCATATAATTTTTAACAACTTGGCAACAGGAGCAACATTTAATTTCCCACAACTCTTTTTGCTTCCTATTATTGAGCCATCACTTGAACTAGTGGTTTCTGGAGGGAACATTCAGGATTCTTAAGAGGATTTAATGTTACATTTACAGGAGTGGAGGTGGATGACAAACAAGCAAAGTAGTGCTATTTTGCAAGGCAGGGTGCTGTACGGTAATACATCCCGGTAATACATGGTGTGAATAAATCACGTTCATCAGACAGTATTCAGGAATGAGATGCTGAAGTATCCGTTTCCATTTTAGAATTATTTTCATGGAAACTTTTAAGCTTAACGCGAGCGACAATAGGTTTTAACAGAGTGTCTTGACAGAGAAGACTGTCTTTATTAGAAACATAGCAATTTTCTTGCTGAATCAGGCCAGTACATTTAGCAACAAGCATTTACAGTATAAGCTGCCCTAAGTAATAGTTTCTTCATAATTCCCATAGCCAGAGATCAATTTATGTCCCAGAGCCCAAGATTTTGGAGTTTTTTTCTAATTTCTTTTTTATGGTTTGCGATAGTGACTTTTACGGCTTTGCTTATTCTTTGGGTAAACTTGCGGTCTCTTTATGTATCCAGCTAAGCTGCTGGCCTCAGTGGTGTCCCGTAGAATTCAATGCCACTGGATAACGATGCGCTGAATTTGGACAAGAATCATCTTGCATCAGTTCAAAGACGTTGCAGCCAGAGGGTTGATAATCTGGTGTCGCCTTGTACGTACTAGCACCCATACGGATGCATGCCTGTCTTTCAATGAAGCTGGCTAGATCCCTCTCCCAAACTGTCATATTACATATGGTGATATCATCCATGACATTTTGTCCTCACATTATGCGTGCAATTTGGAAATGGTACCATAAAACAAAGGCTCCTTTTAAATGCTTCCAAACCAGCAAATATGAAGACATGATTGACGCGTCTCATCAAAAAAGCAGCAGCTTGCGCACAACACCATGACACCGGAGCTGTCTCCAAGGAGTGTAAGAGAACAGCTCCCAAGTTCCTTCAATCTGTTCTTGCTTCTAGCTCGGAGAGCTCTGAAGTTCGTCCAAAACCAAACCGGTCTGTGCACCTACCTGCCTGTCCACGTGCATGTCCTCTGGTAAGGACGTAGAAAAGAGATTGGCCAAGTGTAACAGGTCCTCAGAAGGCAGACACAGCGTCACATACTTGATGGTAGAAATCAGGATTTCCTTTAACTCGTATGGCCAGTGCACCATGGTAATCCTATTTTGCAGGATTTCCAATAAATAAGTATTTCTGAAATATGGGGCTTTATTGTGCTCCTGTTGAATTTAATTATATATTGTCTAAGAGTATATTGAATATATTTAACAGATCCCGGGGATGGGAGTGGGGGTGATGATGTGTTGGCACGTGTAATTTCCAGCTTAACACAGAGGTTTCCAACAGGTTGACCCATTTCCACTAAATGAATTAGGAGTGCACACAACTGCCTGAATTTGATTAATGCATCTGCGAATTATTCAGAAAGAGTTTTCTCCCATTTCCAGTGTTTGTTTCTTGTCTCGTAAAATACTTTTTTTGTGGCTTAACCGTGTGTTCGACAATCACAGAGCTGTCTCGTCGTTTCGTCCTAATCTCTGTTTCTTTTATAGATGGTGTAAAACTCGCTTGTTAGCCAGAGTTGTGCCTAAAATTATAACTGTGTGGTTCTTTGTATTCTGTAGAACGTGATGTGTCTATTTTGTGTAACAGCACAAGATTTCATGCTTTCATAAAATGAACTGGTAGATTTTGAAAATAAATTTACAAAAAAGAAGTTTGCTATTTAAGTTCTCTTGTATCACTTAAAGGGTAGTGAGAAGCTGTCTTCATTTCATGTCAGCAAAGTTGTTAGGCACAGTTAAAAAAAGGTTGCTGTCGTGTCCTTATATCTGAGAGGCAGTTCATGCCATAATATCTTTGGCCTTTCATTTCTTAATTTCTTCCAGAACCAGCTGCAACGATTCTTACCAGCTGCAGAAACAAATAACTGCAAAATAATTGGGTTCAGTAAGGTCCTCGTTTCAGTGCTTTGCAAATTATGATCTCTCCTCTTCTTCAGACGTCTATTACAGTGATTCTGTTCGATATTCAAACGTATTTGTACTTTGGAGGACGGGCCTTTCTTTCCATAAAAACCCACTCATGGTTCAATACAACTGAAATGGCATTAAAGGCAGCACCTAATTAGCAGAGCAGAAACTTACACTGGGAATAGTTAAACCTTTCAGGGACAGATTGTGCCCAGGTATTATAGGAGGAGGTATGCGAGCACGTAGGGTTTTCTGCTCCCTTGCTCGCCTTTTGCAGCGACTGGTCAAGTCCATAAGGCCTGCTGTCTCTCTGCACCCCTCCGGACAGAGGAAGCCCTTAAGGGCAGAAATTCTTCCCTTGCTGTTTGTTGTCCAACAAAGCCATTAAGAGGCACAGCGGGGAAAGTCACCTGAATCTCCCAGTCCTGGAGCAGTCGCACAATGTCTGCACATGCACAAATCCCAGTTGCTCCCCACAGGGCCATGCAACATGGAGCTATACAGTCCAGCCCCGAGCACTGAAGTCCCAAGTGCAATCTGTGGAGGCGAATACCCCTGGGAAACCCTAGCAATGGCAGTGGAGTTGCAGCAATGCAAATAAAAGAGGAACGTTTCCCACTGCCAATTTCTGCGCGAGTGGGACAGCGAAATGAAAACTTAACACTTCTTCCACCTGCCCACCAGGGTTGACCGAGGCTTGAAGAGCAACGTTATTCAGGCAAGGGTCAGCGTTTGATCAATACCTGGCTTCTAGTGCTGTGTTTGGGGAGATACTGAACTGAATGTTACTGGTAACTAGTCCAAGCCACCTATGTGCTTTGTAATGCATTTTCATTTAACCTGTGTAGAGCATGATTCGAAATGAAGTTTGCACGGGCGTAAAACCCATTTCTATTTTCGCTGGCTGAACCAGGCAGTGCTAAAGAATTGGAAACTGCAGATATTTCCACTGTGAAAGACAATAGGTTGGGTTTTTTATTTTTTAATTACCCCTCTTGCCACCATCTTGTCTTCCGAGCTGGATCTTCTGCTCAGGTTTGAGGATGGGTGTCCAAAAAAAGCAGTGACACATCACTCGAGGCATGTTAATAAAGTGTCAAGCCTGTCACACACGGAGGGGGAGATTCTGCGCGAGCGCAGGTTGCTATAGCTTTATTGACTTCAATTAAGCTATGGCAATTCACACCAGCTGAGTATCTGCCACCTGATTTTCTGCTGTTCACTGACACCTCGCTCACACACATCAGAAAATACTGCCAACCCCTTTGCATATTGGATGAACAGTTTCCTCACTGTGCTCCAAAGCAGTAAATCTCTCCATTTCACTTATGCCAGATATCTGTAATGTCAAAAACCTGCAGAAAATGTCATCTATATTTCAGCATGCTTTAATACTAAGAGTTTCCCGTACTTCCCTCATGCTGGTTTGACAATGATTGAAATAATAGCGAGCGAGTAGGTAGCCTTTTCTGTTTCCAAAGTGCTGTGCAAACAACTAATTAGCTTAATGAAAACGAGTGGTTTTCCTTAAAATAGAACAAAAATATTTTAGAGCAGGATTGTACTTATCCCAAGACGCTATCATTTATTTATTCTGTGCAATTCAAATTCCCCCGTGTGTCCCGCATTGCAACCATGTATTTGAGTGCTTGCAGTGGGGCTATTTGCATCCATAGATATATGTGTAGATTATCCATATGTCCACCCATCTGCCTTGAGGCTCCATACGGTATCTGAAGAGGCTGCTACATGTCAATTAACCCATGAAGGGGCTGGAATCATTTGTTCCCATGCGCTGTCTGGCCTGTATAGCAGCCCTTCTCTGTGTCTGCAAGAATTAGATGCAAATGCCTCCTTCTGGAGGCCAATTTGCCTTCACACTGAAGTACAGAGCAGCCAGCTTAATTATCTGTGCTATGCTAACAACAGGTCGGGGTGCCGAGTCCTGGGCAATGCACAGAGAACACAGCAGCCTGGATGTCCTGAACAGCTTGCAGTATAAGGAAATCAAAGTGAAAGAAAACACAACCCGGGATTTAGTGGATAGGATTTGCTGCTGAATCCAGCATTTCTGTGCTTCAAGAACTATGGTTTTTCCTCTGCGTAGACAGGATCCTGATCTTATCCCTGTTCTGTATTGCAGTGTTAAGTAGCATGAACATAACATGTAATATTGCCATCTGTTTACAGTGGTCCTGGCTGTCACACCACCATTTCAGTAACCCCCAATGGGAGGGTCTCAGCCCCAAGTTTAACATTGGTTTTCACCCTTCTGGCCTTTTTATGCCCGTTAGACTCACATACCAGGCTTGACTTGTAGGTCTGCTGAGGGACTTTGGACTGAGGAAGTTGTCTGAAAAGCAGCCGGAGCTAGCTGTCGGGGAGTTGGTCCGTAATGGAGCGCAAGGCAAAGTCAAAATAGGCCCCTGCTACTTAAAACTTCCACTGGTGTCAGGCACCTGAGATGAGGCGTCTGCCACTAGCTGTCTAGTGCTGCCACCGTCCACACCAGCCAGGTCCCAAATAGCCGTTCTGATCGCGCCTTTGCTAAAGCGGATGACAGTGTGCACTAATGGCCATGTGTGCATGAAATTTCCCCATCGCAATCATTCCACGTGCAAGCCAAGTGTGCATTTGTCTGCCGACCTTGCTTGAAATCTACCCCCCTTGGTACAGACGGACAGTGCATGCCTCACCTCACCGGTCGCTTCGCTGCAAAGCTGCTTTCGTGGAACCCACTGAAGCCCAGTGGTACTCAAGGGCAGCGTCTCGTGGTTAATGGGGACAGTCATTCCCTTCATGGAGAGGCCTTGGGCACCCAGGTCACTCTGCATCCTCTCCCATCCTGCTTCTGAGAGCTTGCACCTCTGCCTTTCCAGTCTCCTAAGCACAGGTTGCATGTCTAAAGCACTGCAAATTGCTTTAGCTGCTGCTGCTCCTGATCTGCCCGTTCCATCCACTCTTATCTGCACACGTGGGGAAGCCGTCTTGGGTCTGGGCAAGGCTAGGCAGGCAGCAGACTCTGTCCCTTTCCAGAGGCAGATTGCGCATCCACCTGCTGCATCTTGCAGGGCCTCGTTCCTGATAAAAAATGTCATCTCCTCATCTTGATGTCCTTGCAGCGGGGCTGGGAGACAGCTCCTAGAAAGGACTCTGTTGCAAAGACCCACTCCATTTTTCCTCATGTATTTTTCCATCAGGGGGCCCCACATTTCCTCCTGAAAGTTGGTGGGAGCAGTTATCTCATAGATTTCGTAGACATTTGGGCTGGAAGGGACCTTGCAAGTCATCAGATCCAGCCCCCTGCCCCAGGGGTAGGAAGTCAGCTGGGGTCAAAGGATCCCAGCAAGATCAGCATCCAAGCAGTAAGATAGGTATCCAAGTGAAATCTCCTCTGGGGAGCAATCACTTTTATTTATTATTTTTATTTCTGACAGTTTTTCCCAGTTTAGCTCTACAGAGGGATGACAAGCAGTTGGCCATCTTCGATCAGAAGAGGGGTTTCTCTGGGGAATTGCACGGACCACCCTTCCCCTTTCCTGCGAGCCGGCTCTGACACGAAATCTTTTGCAGCCTGGTGTCAGTTCAGCTCCAGGCGGTTTCACATTTCCATTATTGGACAACTTTCGACGCAGGCTGGAAATGCAACGTAACGGCGTTTGGGGAAGAGGTGGAGACCACGTCTATGCAGGCCCGAGGGACGGTTTTGCTGTTTGGATTTATTGACTGGCTGACCTGATTCATTATTCCTTCCCAATTAGCTTCTCTTGTTGGGGGATGCCCCTTGAGATTTTACAGTCCCCGTCAGTCTATTCCGGCCTTGCAGTGAGAAAGATCTTTCCGATCACCCTAAATCTCCTAGGTCGTCCTGCTTCTCCTGTCCGCAGCAGATGGGGAGACCAGGCATGTGACAGGCATCACTTCAAGCATTTCATTGGGTTCAGTCCTGCTCTGTCCTCAGCACAAAGGGCCACGATGCTGCCTCATCTGCAGCGAAGCCTGGATTGAAAGGGCAGTCGGGCTTCAGAGTCAAGGAGGCAACACAGATTAGTTTGTGCCCCGAGCCTTAGAGAGAGGAACTTGCCTCCCAGCTTGGAGAGGCCTCTTTGGACATCAGTGTGCCTATGATGGTCCTTCCTCCATCCCGCTACCGGGCAGGGTGACCTCAGGAGAGGGGAAGGGCAGCTCAGAGCAGAGCAGCCCGTGTTTTGCTGAGCTCACCTGACTTGCTGCCTACAATGGCTCACCTCCGTGTGCCCTTGGACCTGTGAAAGAAGGGGCAGAGCAGGTGTTTGCTTTTGGCCTGGTCAGACACGTCCAAGGCTGCTGAAGTGCAGCTTGCTGCAACTGGACCCGAGTTCATTAGTGCTACCCTGGATGCAAACCCCAAGGACATGCAGAAGCCGAGCAGCCCCGTGGTTCACAGCAATTCGTGCCATTACCTGTGCTTGGCATGGGCAAGGCAGCGAGTAAAACCGCAAAGCGGCTTCTCCCCTGGAGCCAACCTGAACCAACGACTCAGGGATAGAAAAGGAGTCTCTCTTCCTAAGTATATAGGAGGGTAACTGGTGTATCTGTCCATCTGCCTCTGTAACGGTCCCGGTAGCTGTCTCCGGAGGCAGGTGGGGCAAAGATGCCATCAGCGCTGCCTAATATTTCTGCAGGAGTCGCACCAGGCAGCTGAGGTCCCTCCAAGCCCGTGCAAGGCTCCAGCTCTGGACCTGTAGTTCTGCCCAGC